TGATTTCCTGTCTGGACTGATTCGTTGCTGACCCTGCCCTGATCCTGACCTCTGCTGCTTTTCTTTGTTTGATCCCTGGCTTGTTTTGACCCCGACCACTCTCCCGCCTGTTCCTGGTACTCCGTTTGCTACTGACCCGGCCTGCCTGACTCGCTTGCATTGTATGTGTTTATCTGTGGTTGGTTTGGTTTGTTTGCACTGTGTTATGTTTTATTATTTTTTTGCGTTTATGTAGTTGTTAGTGTTAATAAATTATATTGTTATAACATATCTGAAGCCTGCGTTTCCCTGCGTCAGTCACACACCTCTGGTCATACCCGGAGCCCTGACAAGCTCAGTGATGAGGGGGGGTGGAGGAGTTCAGTGATGGGGGGTGGAGTTCAGTGGGGGGGGGGTGGAGGAGCTCAGTGATGGGGGGTGGAGTTCGGTGATGAGGGGTGGAGTTCGGTGATGAGGGGTGGAGTTCAGTGATGGGGGGTGGAGGAGCTCAGTGATGGGGGGTGGAGTTCAGTGATGGGGGTGGAGTTCAGTGATGAGGGGTGGAGTTCAGTGATGAGGGGTGGAGTTCGGTGATGAGGGGTGGAGTTCAGTGATGGGGGGTGGGGGGAGCTCAGTGATGGGGGGTGGAGTTCAGTGATGGGGGTGGAGGAGTTCAGTTGTTGAATATTTATATGATCACAATATACAAATCCTTGAACGGTGACTCTGGATTGGAGGAAACTAACCTCATGGTCTACAGAAGACACACATAGGAGGAGATTCAGTAACACTGCAGAGGGCGGGATCCGGGGCAGCCAATCAGCTTCTATACCTTCCGTCTGTTCAATGAAGCTTTGACTATGAAACCTGGAAACTGATTGGCCGCTTTGCAGAGCTGCCCCAGATCCTGCCTTCTCCAGTTTTTAGCGAATCTCCTCCACAGCCCCCAGGATGAGGTTGGATGAGAAGAGGTTCAGTATTACCATACATGTTTTACCCCTTGTTCATTCTGATTTTTGTTCCTCCGTGTTCCTAGATCTTTACTATCCATTATCACACATTACCCCTCCCGCCAGAGGATCCCCCCCCCCCCAGAGGATTCTTTCCTTTTTTTCCGTCTTCCCATGTCTTCCGTGTCTTTTCCATGTCCTTCCGTGTCTCCCCGCTCCGTGTCTTTTTTGTCTCCCGCTCCGTGTCTTCCGTGTGTCTCGCGCGCCATGTCTTCCGTTGTCTCCCGCTCCGTGTCTTCCGTGTCTCCCGCTCCATGTCTTCCGTGTCTCCCGCTCCGTGTCTTCCGTGTCTCCCCGCTCCGTGTCTTCCGTGTCTCGGCGCCATGTCTTCCGTGTCTCCCGCTCCATGTCTTCCGTGTGTCTCGCGCGCCATGTCTTCCGTGTCTCCCGCTCCATGTCTTCCGTGTCTCCCGCTCCGTGTCTTCCGTGTCTCCCGCTCCGTGTCTTCCGTGTCTCCCGCTCCGTGTCTTCCGTGTCTCCCACTCCGTGTCTTCCGCGTCTCGCGCTCCATGTCTTCGCAGAAAAATCCCGATATGTGGAAATTAATCGATTTACGTGAAATTTATTGCGACTACAAATGGTGGTATTGTTTTTACTTGGGGAGTATTTTTTTTATTATTAGTAATGACGGTGATCAGCGATTTATAACGGGACTGCAGCAGCATTCTTGATATTTGGGGGGGGAGGGGGACTGACTAACTGTCACTGACATCCCCAGTGACACCAATACAGTGATCAGCGATAATAAAAAGCCCCGACACTGTACTAAATGGCACTGGCAGGAAGGGGTTAATGTCAGGGGAGATCAAAGGGTTAACTGTGTGCTGTGTGTCTTTCACTGTGAGCATGCCTCTATGCAGAGCCATACAAAGCAGTGTGCTGGAGCTGACAGGGGAGAGCTCCGTGTTGTGTACAGTTCTCCTCCCCGTTGGTTTTTCTCATGGTGATCACTGGGCTCCGAGTGGGTAATAACTGGCTGTGACCCGGTGATTGACAGCCGAGGCCGCGAATGGCGGCGCGGGTATAGTGTACACGCCCCCTACCCGGAACTGCGACATCACAGACATAGAGGGGATTTTGCGCACCGTGCCGCCCTGCAGCAGTGCTTCTATAAGGGGGGCGATAAAAACACCGGTAACGTTAGCTGTGTAAAGTCACAATAAAAACGGGAGTTTTCCATTTTTTTTTTTTTATCATTTTTTACATTCGCGTTTCGCGGCGTTTTTTTCACGTTTGCGTTTTTTTTAGCGTTCTTTTTTACCACGAAAAAAATTTTCTGCATCTGAAATGCACAGAAAGTCGGTGATCTGGCAGTCAGTGTCATCGTTTTCACATCGGCGCTCGCACTTCCGGTGCGTTCTGGATGCAGAAAAAAAGTGGAGCAGCGGCGTTTTTTTTTTTCCTGCATAGAACTGGACTGGAATGCGGTAAAAAAAATGTTCAGGGGTGTGTGGGGTAGGGTCAGAGGTGGGGTGTGGTCAGGGGTTGTGTTGGGGTTGGGTCAGAGGTGGGGTGTGGTCAGGGTGTGTGGGGTGGGGTCAGAGGTGGGGTGTGGTCTGGGTGTTGGGGGGGGTGGGGTCAGAGGTGGGGTGTGGTCAGGGGTGTGTGGGGTGGGGTCAGAGGTGGGGAGTGGTCAGGGGTGTGTGGGGTGGGGTCAGAGGTGGGGTGTGGTCAGGGGGGTGTGTGGGGTGGGGTCAGAGTGGGGTGTGGTCAGGGTGTGTGGGGTGGGGTCAGAGGTGGGTGTGGTCAGGATTGGGGTGGTGTGGGGTGGGGTCAGAGGTGGGGTGGGGTGGGGGGTGGGTCAGTGGGGTGTGGTAAGGGGTGTGTGGGGTGGGTCAGAGGTGGGGTGTGGTAAAGGGTGTGTGGGGTGGGGTCAGAGGTGGGTGTGGTCAGGGGTGGGGTCAGTGGGGTGTGGTCAGGGGTGTGTGGGGTGGGGTGGAGGGGGGGGTGTGGGGGGTGGGGGGTCAGTGTGTGGGTGGGGTGTTGGGGTGGGGGGGTAAGAGGTGGGGTGTGGGGGGGGTTGGTCAGTGGGGGGGTGGTAAGGGGTGGGGGGGTGGGGTCAGAGTGGGGGGTGGTGGTCAGGGGTGGGGTGGGGTGTGGTAAGAGGTGGTGGGGTCAGGGTGGGGTTGTGGTCAGGGTGGGTCAGTGGGGTGTGGTCAGGGGTGGGTGGGGTTGGGGTCAGAGGTGGGGTGTGGTCAGGGGTGGGTTTGGTGGGGTGTGGTAAGAGGTGTGTGGGGTGGGGTTGGGGTCAGAGGTGGGGTGTGGTTGGGGTGGGTCAGTGGGGTGTGGTCAGGGGTGGGTGGGTCAGTGGGGTGTGGTCAGGGGTGGGTGGGGGTGGGGTCAGGGTGGGGGTGTGGTCAGGGGTGGGGGGTGTGGGGTGTGTGGGGTGGGGGTAAGAGGTGGGGTGTAGGTCAGGGGTGGGTTGGTGGGGTGTGGTCAAGGGGGGGGGGTGGGGTGTGGGGGGTGGGGGGGGGGGGAGGTGGGTGGTCCTGACTAACCAATCAGATTGCACAATCTCTGATAGATCTGCCATCCACTTCGCAGTACAAGGAGCCGTCTGATTGGATGCAAATTGAACAGATTTTTGTCGGGTCTTCCCAATTCATCGTCGAAAAGTAGATTGCACAATCAGATTGGATGGTGTGTGGACAATATCAGCATTCAGTTCACCACAAGCTATGCAATCAGATTGTACAATCTCCTTTATGATCGTCACACGCACTGCAATCTGACCGTACAATCGACCAGGTCTCCTCCGAGATCGTACAGATTGGATGGTGTGGTGGCCACAATCAGAAATCTATCAAATGTAGAGATTTGTAGAATTCGATGACATCAGCCTGACCACACACCAACCAATCTGTACGATCTCGGAGGAGACCTGGTCGATTGTACGGTCAGATTGCAGTGCGTGTGACGATCATAAAGGAGATTGTACAATCTGATTGTATAGTCAGCTCACCATACACTGTGCAATCTGATTGTACAATCGTCTCTGAGCCCTCCAATCACAGCATACTCTACAGGCGGCTCTGATTGGATCGATCGTTTAGCTTGGTCCTTCTATTGTAAGTTTTGGACAGATCGGCAGATTGTACAATCAGATTGTAGGAGTATGGTTTTCCCGCCATGCCTGTCCACGTAACGTCCAATCTGATTGTACAATCTCCTCCAGCTGATTGTAACACGAGGCCGACCTGACCAATCCGTTATCGGTGTGCTGACAGATTGTATAATCGGATTGGACGGTGTGTGGTCACCATAGGCAGTACAATCTCTTGTACCCTATAATAGGTTGCCCCCCCCCCCCCCCCATGATCCAATCTGATTGTACAATCTCCTGTGTAATGTATGGACCATCGTGATCGGATACCAATCGGTTGTTGGCAGATCTGGAGGAGATTGTACAATCAGATTGTGTTGTCCATCGACACGGTGCAATCTCTGCTCACAGATCTGATTGGTCGGTGTATGGTTGCAGCATTGTGTGACCAATCAGCGAATCCTTCCACCCGATTGGCTTGAAGCTGATTACGGGCGGGAGGGAAGGGGGATATAGAAAAAATCGTCCGATAGATATCGCCCCCCCCCCACCCACCCAACTAATTGTACACCCCCAAACCACTGGAACAATCAATCGGACGATGTGTGGATGATTGAGATCTGTGAAAAGGAGCCTGAAGCGCATCGTACGATGTGTGGACCGATCGGCACCGATCATGATCTCCGCCCCGCCCCCTCCATTCACTGATCACCCGGCCGCTCCGCCCAGAGGAGAAGGGGGCGGGACTGAGAGGAAAACAAACAACATCGGGAGGCGGAGCTAAGCAAGGAGGGCAGAGGCGGGGCCGAGTGAACGGAGAGGCGGGGCCGAGAGAACGGCGAGGCGGGGCTATCTTATTGGGTTTAGTGTAGTAAGCGAAAAGGGGCGCGAGCTGTGCGGTAGGTCCGCCCTCTCCCGGTGACATCACACCGTGTCCCGTATGTGGCGCAGAACCGAGAGCAGCCGCCATGGTGAAGATCTCTTTCACTTCTCCCATCGGAGGGAAGAGCCCGAAGGAGGGCCACAGCCTGGTGACCGAGGAGGTGAGAGCTACACACCGACCGATCGGATCGTACGGAGGGAGGGAACACCGACCGATCCCCCCCCAATAATATAACCCCCTCCCTCTGTAATAATCTCCCCTGTGTGTTCTCTCCCCTCCCCCGTATCTCCCCCTGTGATACTCTTCACCCCCCCCCCCCATCATATCTCCCCCTGTGATACTCCCCCCCCCCCCCCCCATATCTCCCCCTGTGATACTCTTCTTCCCCCCCCCCCCATATCTCCCCCTGTGATACTCTTCCCCCCCCCCGTATCTCCCCCTGTGATACTCTTTCCCCCCCCCCATATCTCCCCCTGTGATACTCCCCCGCCCCCCCCCATGTATCTCCCCCTGTGATACTCTCCCCTCCCCCATATCTCCCCCTGTGATACTCTCCCCTCCCCCATATCTCCCCCTGTGATAACTCTCCCCTCCCCCATATCTCCCCTGTGATACTCCCCCGCCCCCCCCCCCATATCTCCCCCTGTGATACTCTTCACCCCCCCCCTCCCCCCATATCTCCCCCTGTGATACTCTCCCCTCCCCCATATCTCCCCCGTGATACTCTTCCCCCCTCCCCCATATCTCCCCCTGTGATACTCTCCCCTCCCCCATATCTCCCCCTGTGATACTCTTTTTCCCCCCCCCCCCGTATCTCCCCCTGTGATACTCTTCCCCCCCCCCGTATCTCCCCCTGTGATACTCTTCCCCCCCGTATCTCCCCCTGTGATACTCTTTCCCCATCCCGTATTCCCCCCCCCCCCGTATCTCCCCCTGTGATACTCTTTCCCCCCCCGTATCTCCCCCTGTGATACTCTTTCCCCCCCCCCCATTTACTCTCCCCCTGTGATACTCTCTTTCCCCCCCCCCCCCGTATCTCCCCCTTCACCCCCCCCGTATCTCCCCCTGTGAATACTCTTTCCCCCCCCGTATCTCCCCCTGTGATACTCTTTTCCCCCCCCCGTATCTCCGTACTCCCCCTGTGATACTCTTTTTCCCCCCCCGTATCTCCCCCTGTGATACTCTTCCCCCCCCCCCCCCGTATCTCCCCCTGTGATACTCTTTACCCCCCCCCCCCCCCCCGTATCTCCCCCTGTGATACTCTTTCCCCCCCCCCCCCCCCCCCCCGTATCTCCCCCTGTGATACTCTTTTCCCCCCCCCACCCCGTATCTCCCCCTGTGATACTCTTTTCCCCCCCCCCCGTATCTCCCCCTGTGATACTCTTTCCCCCCCCCCCCGTATCTCCCCCTGTGATACTCTTTTTCCCCCCCCCCCGTATCTCCCCCTGTGATACTCTTTTCCCCCCCCCCCGTGATATCTCCCCCTGTGATACTCTTCCCCCCCCGTATCTCCCCCTGTGATACTCTTTCCCCCCCCGTATCTCCCCCTGTGATACTCTTCCCCCCCCCCCCCGTATCTCCCCCCCTGTGATACTCTTCCCCCCCCCCCGTATCTCCCCCTGTGATACTCTCCCCCCCCCCCCCCCTCCCCCTGTGATACTCTATCTCCCGTATCTCCCCCTGTGATACTCTTCCCCCCCCCCCGTATCTCCCCCTGTGATACTCTTATCTCTTCCCCCCCCGTATCTCCCCCTGTGATATAACTCTTCCCCCCCCCGTATCTCCCCCTGTGTACTCTTTCCCCCTGTCCATGTGATACTCCCCCCCCCCCCCCGTATCTCCTGTGATCTCCCCCGTATCTCCCCCTGTGATACTCTGCTTCCCCCCCCCCCCCGTATCTTCCCCCTGTGATACTCTTTCCCCCCCCCCGTATCTCCCCCTCCCCCTGTGATACTTCTTTCCCCCCCCCCCGTATCTCCCCCTGTGATCCCCCCCCTCTTCCCCCCCCCCCCCGTATCTCCCCCTGTGATACTCTTCCCTCCCCGAATCCCCCCTGTGATACTCTTTCCCCCCCCCCCGTATCTCCCCCTGTGATACCTTTTTCCCCCCCCCCGTATCTCCCCCTGTGATACTCTTTCCCCCCCCCCCCCCCGTATATCTCCCCCTGTGATACTCTTCCCCTCCCCCCCCCCGTATCTCCCCCTGTGATACTCTTCCCCCCCCCCCCCCCCCCGTATCTCCCCCTGTGATACCCCTTTCCCCCCCCCCCCGTAGTATCTCCCCCTGTGATACTCTTTCCCCCCCCCCCCCGTATCTCCCCCTGTGATACTCTTTCCCCCCCGTATCTCCCCCTGTGATACTCTTTCCCCCCCGTGATCATTCCCCCTGTGATACTCTTTCCCCCCCCCCGTATCTCCCCCCCGTATACTCCCCCTGTTACTCCTTCCCCCCCCCGTATCTCCCCCTGTGATACTCTTTTCCCCCCCCCCGTTATCTCCCCCCGTGTGATACTCTTCCCCCCCCCCCCGTATCTCCCCCTGTGATACTCTTTCCCCCCCCCCCCCGTATCTCCCCCTGTGATACTCTTACTCTTTTCCCCCCCCCCCCGTATCTCCCCCTGTGATACTCTTCCCCCCCCCGTATCCCCCCCCCGTATCTCCCCCTGTGATACTCTTTACTCTTCCCCCCCCCCGTATCTCCCCCTGTGATACTCTTTCCCCCCCCGTATCTCCCCCTGTGATACTCTTTCCCCCCCCCCCCGTATCTCCCCCTGTGATACTCTTTCCCCCCCCCCCCCTTGATCTCCCCCCGTATCTCCCCTGTGATACTCTTTCCCCCCCCCCGTATCTCCCCCTGTGATACTCTTTCCCCCCCCCCCCCGTATCTCCCCCTGTGATACTCTTTCCCCCCCCCCCCCCCCGTATCTCCCCCTGTGATACTCTTTCCCCCCCCCCCGTATCTCCCCCTGTGATACTCTTTCCCCCCCCCCCGTATCTCCCCCTGTGATACTCTTTCCCCCCCCCGTATCTCCCCCTGTGATACTCTTTCCCCCCCCCCCCCGTATCTCCCCCTGTGATACTCTTTCCCCCCCCGTATCTCCCCCTGTGATACTCTTTCCCCCCCCCCGTATCTCCCCCTGTGATACTCTTCCCCCCCCCCCGTATCTCCCCCTGTGATACTCCCCCCCCCCCCGTATCTCCCCCTGTGATACTCTCCCCCCCCCCCCCCCCGTATCTCCCCCTGTGATACTACTTCTTCCCCCCCCCCCCGTATCTCCCCCTGTGATACTCTTTCCCCCCCCCCGTATTTCTTTCCCCCTGTGATACCTCTTTCCCCCCCCCCCCCGTATCTCCCCCTGTGATACTCTCCCCCCCCCCCCCCCCCCCTGTATCTCCCCCTGTGATACTCTACCCCCCCCCCCGTATCTCCCCCTGTGATACTCTTTCCCCCCCCCCCCGTATCTCCCCCTGTGATACTCTTCCCCCCCCCCCCGTATCTCCCCCTGTGATACTCTTCCCCCCCCCCCCGTATCTCCCCCTGTGATACTCAGTTTTCCCCCCCCCCCCCGTATCTCCCCCTGTGATACTCTCTTCCCCCCCCCCCCCCCCGTATCTCCCCCCTGTGATACTCTTCCCCCCCCCCCCGTATCTCCCCCTGTGATACTCTCTCCCCCCCCCCCCGTATCTCCCCCTGTGATACTCTTACCCCCCCCCCCCCCCCCCGTATCTCCCCCCCCCCCCTTCCCCCTGATACTCTTCCCCCCCCCCCCCCCCGTATCTTCCCCCCCCCCCGTATCTCCCCTGTGATACTCTTCCCCCCCGTATCTCCCCCTGTGATACTCTTCCCCCCCCCCCCGTATCTCCCCCTGTGATACTCTTCCCCCCCCCCCCCCCCTGTGATCTTCCCCCCCCCCCCCCCGTATCTCCCCCTGTGATACTCTTCCCCCCCGTATCTCCCCCTGTGATACTTTCCCCCCCCCCCGTATCTCCCCCGTATCTCCCCCTGTGATACTCTTCCCCCCCGTATCTCCCCCTGTGATACTCTTCCCCCCCCCGTATCTCCCCCTGTGATACTCTTCCCCCCCCGTATCTCCCCCCCCCCCCCCGTATCTCTCCCCCTGTGATACTCTGTCCCCCCCCCCCCCCGTATCTCCCCCTGTGATACTCTTTCCCCCCCCCCGTATCTCCCCCTGTGATACTCTTCCCCCCCCCCCCGTATCTCCCCCTGTGATACTCTTCCCCCCCCCCCGTATCTCCCCCTGTGATACTCTTCCCCCCCCCCGTATCTCCCCCTGTTACTCCCCCCCCCCCCGTATCTCCCCCTGTGATACTCTTCCCCCCCCCCCCCCCTGTATCTCCCCCTGTGATACTCTTCCCCCCCCCCCGTATCTCCCCCTGTGATACTCTTCCCCCCCCGTATCTCCCCCTGTGATACTCTTCCCCCCCGTATCTCCCCCTGTGATACTCTTCCCCCCCCCTCCCCCTGTATACTCTTCTCCCCCCCTGTGATACTCTTCCCCCCCCCCCCCCCCCCGTAATCTCCCCCTGTGATACTCTTCCCCCCCCCCCCCCCCCCCCGTATCTCCCCCTGTGATACTCTTCCCCCCCCCCCGTATCTCCCCCTGTGATACTCTTCCCCCCCCCCCGTATCTCCCCCTGTGATACTCTTCCCCCCCCCCCCCGTATCTCCCCCTGTGATACTCTCCCCCTCCCCCTGTGATACTCTCCCCCTCCCCCCCATCTCTCCTTGTAACATACGCCCCCTCCAGTATATTTCGGTGTCGGGGGTTGTGCAATGCTCGCTCTGTAGAGAAGTACAATAGAGGAAGTTGTGGTCATTTCCTCTGTTGGGATCTCTCCGCCTTCCCTGTATCTCCCCTCCCCTCCGCCCCCCCCCCCCCCATGACATGTAATGGGGCTCATCCTCACCCCGGGGATCAGCATCTGTGTCAGGTGTACAAATCAGTGACAGGCTCCGCCCTACGCTCCGGTATCTGCACATCTATTGGTTATGAGATGAGGGCGGGGTGATTTGTAGCTTCAGGCGATCACCCCCGCCGTGAGTGCCGGGCCCAGCCCCCCAACAACCCCAGCCCCCCCCGCCGTGAGTGCCGGGCCCAGCCCCCCAACAACCCCAGCCCCCCCCGCCGTGAGTGCCGGGCCCAGCCCCCCCACCGTGAGTGCAGGGCCTAGTCCCCCAACAACCCCAGCTCCCCCGCTGTGTGCACCAGACACGGCCCGCCATTACCCCCCCCCCTCAGAATACCACTGTCCTGGCAGTTTGAGGAGTGACTACCCTGGAACCATCATGCACCCAGTGAAGTCTGATCTGTCCATTTCTTCCGGAAGATCAGGATGGCAGCCATGCAGCAGCTCCTCAGGGGTGGGGTGAATGATGGCGGCCTTTGTTCTCCATTGGTGTGTGTGAGGTCAGCTGATGATGTGAAGGAGCCCACCCTCTGGGGGAGGGGCTGGCTGCGGTTTGGGGGGCGTCCCTCTGGGGGAGGGGCTGGCTGCGGTTTGGGAGGAGTCCCTCCTGGGGGAGGGGCTGGTGGCGGTTTGGGAGGCGTCCCTCCTGGGGGAGGGGCTGGTGGCGGTTTGTGGGGGGGCGTCCCTCTGGGGGAGGGGCTGGCTGCGGTTTGGGGGGCGTCCCTCCTGGGGGAGGGGCTGGCTGCGGTTTGGGGGGCGTCCCTCCTGGGGGAGGGGCTGGCGGCGGTTTGGGGAGGAGGGCGTACCTCTGGGGGAGGGGCTGGTGGCGGTTTGGGGGGGGCGTCCCTCTGGGGGAGGGGCTGGCGGCGGTTTGGGGGGGGCGTCCCTCTGGGGGGAGGGGCTGGCGGCGGTTTGGGGGGGGGGGCGTCCCTCTGGGGGAGTGGGCTGGCGGCGGTTTGGGGGGGGCGTCCCTCTGGGGGAGGGGCTGGCGGCGGTTTGGGGGGGGGCGTCCCTTTGGGGGGGGCGTCCCTCTGGGGGAGGGGCTGGCGGCGGTTTGGAGGGGGGCGTCCCTCTGGGGGGAGGGCTGGCGGCGGTTTGGAGGGGGGCGTCCCTCTGGGGGAGGGGCTGGCGGCGGTTTGGGGGAGGGGGTGTCCCCCTGGGGGAGGGGCTGGTGGCGGTTTGGGGGATGGGGGGCGTCCCCCCTGGGGGAGGGGGGCTGGCGGCGGTTTGGGGGGGGGGGGGGCGCGTCCCTCCTGGGGGAGGGGCTGGCGGCGGTTTGGGGGGAGTCCCGGGGGGGGCCGTGGTTTAGGGGGAGTCCCTCTGGGGGGGAGGGGCTGGCCGTGGTTTAGGGGGAGTCCCTCTGGGGGGGGGGGGCTGGCCGTGGTTTTAGGGGGAGTCCCGGGGGGGAGGGGCTGGCCGTGGTTTAGGGGGAGTCCCGGGGGGGGGAGGATGGGGCTGGCCGGTTTAGGTTTAGGGGGAGTCCCGGGGGGGGGGGGAGGGGCTGGCCGGTTTAGGGGGAGTCCCTCTAGGGGGAGGGGCCAGGTATGTCCTCGCACAGTATGCGGAGGGATAGGGTAGGGTGCCCCCGGGGGTCGGTGATCCAGCGCTCTCCCATAGACGTCGGACCCTCCATAGAGATCTGCATGTTGGATGTAATAAATCGCCGTCTCCATCTTGTCTTGCAGGACCCGGAAGTCGCCACTCATGTCGCAGAGCGGCGCTCCAGCGGGCAGTGTCTGCTCATGCTCCTGGGATTGTCCTTCATCCTCGCTGGGCTGATTGTGGGCGGAGCCTGTATTTACAAGTTCTTTATGCCGCGGGTAAGGTAACGCCCACACCCCCTCCCCCTCCCCGGGGACTGATGGGCGACTTTCCCCAGTCCATCGCCACGCCATCTGTGCGCCTCCAAATGGGAGATCATCAGTGGGGGAGGGAGGAGCCATGTGTGTGCAGGGCGGAGTCTCCGGAGGAGGGGTTCTGTCACCTCTCATGGTCGCGTCCTTCAAGGTCAACCCAAACCTCTCCTCATCCTTCACTGCTGGGGGGCCGCATTGTCCACAAGGAGGCATTGCCAGACGGCTCAGGCATGACCCCCAGAGGGATGATGGGATTTGTAGTTCCAGCACAGCTGGGGGGGTGGGGTTGTCCTCCTCGGGGTTTAGGTTATAAAGCAATGAGAGGTTTGTTGGGGCGACCTCAAAAGACTCAGTCCAGGAGATGGAATGTCCTTGGGGTTGTCACCGGGAATGACGTTCAACCTCGGGGGGGGGTTGTCACCGGGAATGACGTTCAACCTCGGGGGGGGTTGTCACCGGGAATGACGTTCAACCTCGGGGGGGGGGTTGTCACCGGGAATGACGTTCAGCCTCGGGGGGGGGGGGGTTGTCACCGGGAATGACGTTCAACCTCGGGGGGGGGGTTGTCACCGGGAATGACGTTCAACCTCGGGGGGGGGGGGTTGTCACCGGGAATGACGTTCAACCTCGGGGGGGGGTTGTCACCCGGGGGGAGGGGGGGTTGTCACCGGGAATGACGTTCAGCCTCGGGGGGGGGGGTTGTCACCGGGAATGACGTTCACCCTCGGGGGGGGGGGTTGTCACCGGGAATGACGTTCAACCTCGGGGGGGGGGTTGTCACCCCGGGAATGACGTTCAACCTCGGGGGGGGGGTTGTCACCGGGAATGACGTTCAACCTCGGGGGGGGGGTTGTCACCGGGAATGACGTTCAACCTCGGGGGGGGTTGTCACCGGGAATGACGTTCAACCTCGGGGGGGGGTTGTCACCGGGAATGACGTTCAACCTCGGGGGGGGTTGTCACCGGGAATGACGTTCAACCTCGGGGGGGGTTGTCACCGGGAATGACGTTCAACCTCGGGGGGGGGGGGTTGTCACCGGGGAATGACGTTCAACCTCGGGGGGGGGGTTGTCACCGGGAATGACGTTCAACCTCGGGGGGGGGTTGTCACCGGGGAATGACGTTCAACCTCGGGGGGGGGTTGTCACCGGGAATGACGTTCAACCTCGGGGGGGGTTGTCACCGGGAATGACGTTCAACCTCGGGGGGGGGGGGGGTTGTCACCGGGAATGACGTTCAACCTCGGGGGGGGGGTTGTCACCGGGAATGACGTTCAACCTCGGGGGGGGGTTGTCACCGGGAATGACGTTCAACCTCGGGGGGGGGGGTTGTCACCGGGAATGACGTTCAACCTCGGGGGGGGGTTGTCACCGGGAATGACGTTCAACCTCGGGGGGGTTTTGTCACCCGGGAATGACGTTCAACCTCGGGGGGGTTGTCACCGGGAATGACGTTTTCAACCTCGGGGGGGGGGTTGTCACCGGGAATGACGTTCAACCTCGGGGGGGGGTTGTCACCGGGAATGACGTTCAACCTCGGGGGGGGGTTGTCACCGGGAATGACGTTCAACCTCGGGGGGGGGGTTGTCACCCGGGAATGACGTTCAACCTCGGGGGGGGGGTTTGTCACCGGGAATGACGTTCAACCTCGGGGGGGGGTTGTCACCGGGAATGACGTTCAACCTCGGGGGGGGTTGTCACCGGGGAATGACGTTCAACCTCGGGGGGGGGGGTTGTCACCGGGAATGACGTTCAACCTCGGGGGGGGGGGGGTTGTCACCGGGGAATGACGTTCAACCTCGGGGGGGGGGGGGGGGGGGGGGTTGTTGTCACCGGGGAATGACGTTCAACCTCAGGGGGGGGGGGGGGTTGTCACCGGGAATGACGTTCAACCTCGGGGGGGGGTTGTCACCGGGAATGACGTTCAACCTCGGGGGGGGGGTTGTCACCGGGAATGACGTTTCAACCTCGGGGGGGGGGTTGTCACCGGGGGGGGAATGACGTTACAACCTCGGGGGGGGGGTTGTCACCGGGAATGACGTTCAACCTCGGGGGGGGGGTTGTCACCGGGAATGACGTTCAACCTCGGGGGGAGTTGTCACCGGGAATGACGTTCAACCTCGGGGGGGGTTGTCACCGGGAATGACGTTCAACCTCGGGGGGGGTTGTCACCGGGAATGACGTTCAACCTCGGGGGGGGTTGTCACCGGGAATGACGTTCAACCTCGGGGGGGGGGTTGTCACCGGGAATGACGTTCAACCTCGGGGGGGGTTGTCACCGGGAATGACGTTCAACCTCGGGGGGGTGGGTTGAATCTTTGATTTCCGCCAAACGCCCCCCCAGGGTGTATACAGTCAGGTCCATAAATATTGGGACATGGACACACAACTCTAACATTTTTGGCTCTATACACCACAATGGATTTGAAATGAAAGGAACAAGATGTGCTTTAACTGCAGACTGTCAGCTTTAATTTGAGGGTATTTACATCCAAATCAGGTGAACGGTGTAGGAATGACAACAGTTTGCCTATGTGCCTCCCACTTGTTAAGGGACCAAAAGTAATGGGACAGAATAATAATCATAAATCAAAACTGTCACTTTTTAATACTTGGTTGCCAATCCTTTGCAGTCAATGACAGCCTGAAGTGTGGAACGCATAGACATCACCAGACGCTGGGTGTCATCCCTGGTGATGCTCTGCCAGGCCTTTACTGCAACTGTCTTCAGTTCCTGCTTGTTCTTGGGGCATTTCCCTTCAGTTTTGTCTTCAGCAAGTGAAATGCTCCATCGGGTTCAGGTCAGGTGATTGGCCATTGCAGAACATTCCACTTCTTTGGTGTCTTTTGCAGTCTGCTTTGGGTCATTGTCCATCTGCACTGTGAAGCGTCCAATGAGTTGTGAAGCATTTGGCTGAATATGAGCCGATAATATTCCCGAAACACTTCACAATTTCATCCGGCTGCTTCTGTCAGCCGTCACATCATCAATAAATACAAGAGAAGCAGTTCCATTGGCAGCCATACATGCCCACGCCATGACACTACCACCACCATGATCACTGATGAGTGGTATGCTGAGGATCATGAGCAGTTCCTTCTCCATCCTCTTCTCTTCCCATCACTCTGGTACAAGTTGATGTTGGTCTCATCTCTCCATAGGATGTTGTTCCAGAACTGTGAAGGCTTTTTTACATGTCGTTTGGCAAACTCTAATCTGGCCTTCCTGTGTTTGAGGCTCACCAATGGTTTCCATCTTGTGGTGAACCCTCTGTATTCACTCTGGTGAAGTCTTCTCCTGATTGGTGACTTTGACACACATACACCTACCTCCTGGAGGGTGTTCTTGATCCGGCCAACTGTTGTGAAGGGTGTTTTCTTCACCAGGGAAAGAATTCTTCGCTCATCCACCACAGTTGTTTTCCGTGGTCTTCCGGGTCTTTTGGTGTTGCTGAGCTCACCGGTGCGTTCCTTCTTTTTAAGAATGTTCCAAACGGTTGTTTTGGCCACGCCTAATGTTTTTGCTATCTCTCTGATGGGTTTGTTTTGGTTTTTCAGCCTAATGATGGCTTCACTGATAGTGACAGCTCTTTGGGTCTCATCTTGAGAGTTGACAGCAACAGATTCCAAATGCAAATAGCACACTTGAAATGAACTCTGGACCTTTTATCTGCTCATTGTAATTGGGATAATGAGGGAATAACACGCACCTGGTCATGGAACAGCTGAGAAGCCAATTGTCCCATTACTTTTGGTCCCTTAACAAGTGGGAGGCACATAGGCAAACTGTTGTCATTCCTACACCGTTCACCTGATTTGGATGTAAATACCCTCAAATTAAAGCTGACAGTCTGCAGTTAAAGCACATCTTGTTCCTTTCATTTCAGATCCATTGTGGTGTATAGAGCCAAAAATGTTAGAATTGTGTCCATGTCCCAATATTTATGGACCTGACTATCTCCGGAGATACCAATGACGGTTCAGTCATAGAACTCCATAGCGATTGGCCCCCCTCTGATGTCCCCCCCCCCCCCCCCCTCCTGTATTGCAGCACAAGGTGTTGGAGGGTCACCTCTCCTATATGGACAGTTCCAATGTGAAGGAGCCGTATTACCTCCCTGTGACTGAGGAGGCCGACATCCACGAGGAGGACAACGTGGCCTTCATCAACGTCCCGTGTGCCGAGCTTCGCTGAAGGAGACTCCGCCGCCATCGTCCACACTTCTTCGACAGGGTGAGTGCAGCTCTCCTCCGGGGGGGGGGTGTCTCTCCCCCCTTCCCTGTGTGGTGTGTGTCTGTCTTCCAATGATGTGTTGTGGGCGGAGTTCCCACCCCCCAATGATGTGTTGTGGGCGGAGTTCCCACCCCCCAATGATGTGTTGTGGGCGGAGTTCCCACCCCCCAATGATGTGTTGTGGGCGGAGTTCCCACCCCCCAATGATGTGTTGTGGGCGGAGTTCCCACCCCCCAATGATGTGTTGTGGGCGGAGTTCCCACCCCCCAATGATGTGTTGTGGGCGGAGTTCCCACCCCCCAATGATGTGTTGTGGGCGGAGTTCCCACCCCCCAATGATGTGTTGTGGGCGGAGTTCCCACCCCCCAATGATGTGTTGTGGGCGGAGTTCCCACCCCCCCAATGATGTGTTGTGGGCGGAGTCCCCCCCGTGTGATATGCTTTTTTTCTGTTTCGGTTCAGCTCCTGACGGCCTATCTGGACCTTCAAATTCAGAAATGTTACGTCATCAATCTGAACACATCGGTGGTCCTGCCCCCGCGGAGCCTGCTTGACCTCTTCATGAAGTTGGCGGTATGTATGGGGGAGGGGCGAAGATCTGCTTTCTGATTGGTGGTTTGGGGTGATGTGGAATGCTGGGGGGGGATGGTCAGTTGACTGAAAGATGGAGTGTTCCTGTGGCCTGTGTCTGGGGGGGTCTACACTAAGCAGGAAGTGAGTCAGTAATTCCTAATCCCCCCACCCTCACCATTCAGAACAGATCTTGGGGGGAATGCTGATATCGGGGTGCCGAGAACACTCCCCCCTAAAACTGGAAATGCAGAGAGCCCGGCCTGCCACTGCAGTCTGATATCCAGGAACCCCAGCTGATGCTGGATAGCAGTTCCCAGACACGCCCCCTTCAGGCCCTTCCCTGTGTTATCAAAGTGTCAGGTGTTCCACAGTCACCAATCAGAATCAGTCCTGTCTGAGGTCCAACTCACCACGCCTCTTACTGACACTTCCAACTGTCTGCTTTCCAAAAAGGGGTAATTTGGGGGGGGATTTGTCTTGACATTTGGGGGGGGATTTGTGCCCTCCTGACATTTGGGGGGGGATTTGTGCCCTCCTGACATTTGGGGGGGGATTTGTGCCGTCCTGACGTTTGGGGGGGATTTGTGCCCTCCTGACATTTGGGGGGGGGATTTGTCCCGACATTTGGGGGGGATTTGTCCCGTCCTGACAGTTTCGGGCCTCCAGAAATGAGATGGTCGGTCCGTACATCCTGATTGGTGGATTTCCTGAGATCTCGTAGTTTGTGGATTCTATAACTTTCCTGCAGACTGAATAATAAATACGGATTTTGGGGGATTTTCACCCAGAAATGGAGCCGAATACATTTTAACCGACATTTACGAAGAGATTATTTATCTGCAAAATGTAATAACGGACTAAGAAAAACGTTTGTTTTTTGTTTTTTTTCATAGCGCAAAAAAACCCCCCAGACCCCCCCCCCCCCCCCCCGCACTGAGGTGACAATTGTGGCCGGCGGGGGGGGGGGGGGGGGGAAGTGGCCGGGCGGGGGGGGGGGGGGAGGGGAGTGGCCGGCAGACATGGGATTGGTAATAGAGGAAGTTCCGCAGCTCGGCGAGTGAACCTTCCGGGCATTAGAAGTCTATTGGGTGGTTTGGTACCTGGAGGGAGGGAGGAGCACAAGTGTGGGGGGGGGGGGGGGGGGGGGGACAGCCTGGGGGAGGGGTGACAGGACGAGGGTTAGGTGCCTGGTGTGAGGGGGGGCACCTGGTGAGCGGCGGGGTGAGGGGGGGCACCTGGTGAGCGGCGGGGTGAGGGGGGGCACCTGGTGAGGGGCGGGGTGAGGGGGGGCACCTGGTGAGGGGGGGGACCTGGTGAGGGGGGGCACCTGGTGGGAGGAAGATGAGGGGAGGTACTTGGGGGATGGGGTGCAAGGGTTAGGTACTTGGTGAGGGGCAGAGTAAGGGGTGGGGGGCACCTGGTGAGGGTGGGAGGGAGGACGAGCAAGGTACCTGGGTGAGGGGGTGGCAGGAAGAGGGCTGGGTACCTGGTGAGAGGTGGGATTAAGGGGGGGGGGGCACCAGGTGAGGGTCGGTTGGAGGGGGTGGAAAGAAGAGGGCTTAGTAACCTGGGGTGGTGTAAGGGAGAGGGAAGGTACCTGGTGAGGGGCAGAGTAGGGGGGGGGGGGTACCTGGGTAAGGGGGGAAGGGGTGGCAGGACAAGGGTTTAGGTTTTTCTGGTGAGGGGCGTAGTAAGGTGGGGGGGCACCTGGTGAGGGGCGGAGTAAGGTGTGAGGGGGGGGCACCTGGTGAGGGGCGGAGTAAGGGGGGGCACCTGGTGAGGGGCAGAGTAAGGGGGGGGGGCACCTGGTGAGGGTGGCAGGTAACTGGCAAAGAAGAGCAGCACATGGTGGGGGGCATCGGGGAGGGTACCTGGTGAGGGGGGAGGGGCATCCTCTGACGAATCCATGGGCTTGGAGATGAGAAGATTTGGGATTGGCTCCCTCACTGGGAGGACAGATTGGGGTAGAAGGGACGGCTGATTGGCTGCCCAGTAAGCAATGCATGATGGGAAGAATGTGACCCTGTTCTGTTCTCTGCCCCTCCCCCAGTCTGGATCCTACCTGCCCCAGACCTACCTGGTGAGCGAGGAGTTGGTGGTGACGGAGAAGATCGATGACTTGTCTGAGCTGGGGATCTTCATCTATCAGCACTGCGTGGGGAGGGACACCTACCGGCTGCAGCGCCGGGACCAGATCGCTGGTGAGTCCAACACGGGGGGCCCGGGGCCCTATGGTCCGCAGTCCTGACCGTATATATGGGTACAGATCAGGTCTGCATTGCACACCGACATGTTTCAAGCACTGGAGTCTCTGTATTGTGGGGGGGGGGGGGGGGGAGTGTATTGGGGGGGGGGGGGGGGGGGGTTGTATTGGGGGGGGGGGGGGGGGGGGGGGGGGGGGGAGTGTATTTGAAGTCGGTCGCAGTTTATGGTTGCGGTCGAAGTTCGGCTTCATTAACCCCTCGGCCTCCATTTTTCAGGACTCCAGAAGCGATCGGCTGAGATGTGCCGCAGCATCCTTCACTTCGGGAACAACTTCGTGACTCAGACTTCCATCTGTGAGCTGTGAGCGCCGCGTTCCTCGCCGCACCGCGCCCCTCGCCAGGCCACCCGCCTCCTGATTTAACCTGTGCAGTGATAATCAATGCGTTTTTTTTGTTTTTTTAATCGTGTGTGCGTCCGCTTCTAGCTTCAGTAACAGCCTGACGTGACCTCGGCGGGAAGGTGACTCAGGAATCGTATAACCTCACTCGCCTGTCCCCAATCCGTCACCACGGTGACCATCCACGCAATCCCTGGAAACGCCGCACATGCGCCGCGCCCTTTCCTCGCAGACCCTACTAATCGATCAGCGCATGTCTGGTTCTGTGTGCTACTACTGTATACCGCCCCCGCCTGGAAGACTCCACACTTATCTGTACTATTAAATGTCCCCGCCCCCTCATCCCATCCCCCACCCCATCCCCCGTCCCACCACCCCGTCCCCCGCCCCCTCATCCCATCCCCCACCCCCTATATATGATCTATTTTCTATATAGAAATATAATTGGCGTATAACGAGTGCGTTCCGTCGTCTTTCCTGCCGCGGGGCTCCGCAGACGCATGATTGAAGGTCCCCATCTGTCCCATCACCCCCCCCCCCCCCCCCCCCCCCCCCCCCACCCGTCCCCCCCCCCCCCCCCCCCCCCCCCCCCCCCCCCCCCCCCCCCCCCCCCCCCCCCCCCCCCCCCCCCCCCGTAGATGTAACGAGGAGCCCCTTTATATTGAGGAATTTTGCTGATTTATATATTTTTTTTTTTTTTTCTACTTTTTGTTTTAATGTGTTCACTGAGGTGATGATGAAGGGGTTAGACCGTGTGATGTGTATGTGAGACCTTCCAATAAAAACCTTTCTCTAACTTTTGTGTCTGTGATCAATGAAGTGTAGAAGAGCTTACACTCTAATGTCCCCTCCCCCCCGCAGTCCCATCAGTCTCTGTACCAGAGGAGCTTACGCTCTAATGTCCCCTCCCCCACAGTCCCGTCGGTCTCTGTACAGAGGAGCTTACGCTCTAATGTCCCCCCCCGCAGTCCCATCGGTCTCTGTACCAGAGGAGCTGACACTCTAATGTCCCCTCCCCCGCAGTCCCACTCTAATGTCCCCTCCCCCACAGTCCCATCGGTCTCTGTACAGAGGAGCTTACGCTCTAATGTCCCCTCCCCCACAGTCCCATCAGTCTCTGTACCAGAGGAGCTCACACTCTAATGTCCCCTCCCCCACAGTCCCATCAGTCTCTGTACCAGAGGAGCTGACACTCTAATGTCCCCTCCCCCACAGTCCCATCGGTCTCCGTACCAGAGGAGCTTACGCTCGAATGTCCCCTCCCCCGCAGTCCCATCAGTCTCCGTACCAGAGGAGCTTACGCTCGAATGTCCCCTCCCCCGCAGTCCCATCAGTCTCCGTACCAGAGGAGCTTACGCTCTAATGTCCCCTCCCCCGCAGTCCCATCAGTCTCCGTACCAGAGGAGCTTACGCTCTAATGTCCCCCCCCCCCCCCCGCAGTCCCATCAGTCTCCGTACCAGAGGAGCTGACGCTCTAATGTCCCCTCCCCCGCAGTCACACATTATACATGTATATAGCTCTGACATACACCGCAGCGCAGTACAGAGGCCCATCCTTCAGGGCTGATCTCCTGGTTCCGGTCTCCATGGTTGCTCTGGGTTGGGATGGTGAAGGAAGATCAGGGTGGCAGCCGCCATATTTCTCTCCTCTATCCTGTCGGTAAGTACATGAAGGATGGCCGCTCCGGGAGAGAACGTACAAACTCCATGCAGACGCTGTGGGAGGCGGGTCCAGGGCTCCAGCACTGAATTTCCCTCTGCGGGCCCTTCCTATGTATGCAGAACGTGGCCCCGTACAGATCTCGCCGTTGGAAGTGGAACAGCCCAGAAATAGCTGAGCGTTTGGGCGCCACAAAGCGCAATTCTGACGCAAATGACGCTAGAAAAAGTGATCTCGCTGAGCAGGAGCTGCTATTGGGCGGCAAATGTGCATTGCAGTGAATGGGGGTGACGTGTCTGATGAATGGAGGAGGATGAACAATGTGCTGGGGGGGGGGCAGGGGGTGTGACCGATTCCCCTGGAATGGATGGAGGACCAATAGAGGGTGGTCTGCAGCTCCCCCACATTCCCGATTCTGGGGGCGATAGAAACATCGAGTGATGGCAGAAAAAGAGGGGGGGTTCCATGGAGTCCGCCCTTTTGTGTGTTGGGGGGGGGGGGGGAGGTATTTTTGTTTTTATTGTCTTTTTTCTTTGTTTCTCTCCTCTTTTTTTTTTTTTTTTTTTTTTTCTTAACTTTTGGTTTGCGTGATTTATAAAAGGAGGAGCGCCAGCCTCATGACTGCTCCAGAAATACTGGCTGACATGTTTCAGGGGTTGGGGGACGGCTTCATCGGAGCTTGTATAATGCTGAGAATAGGAAGGTCGGGACACAGAAAAGCGAATTTCTAGGGGAAGTCATACGCCGCACTTTTACCTCCCAGTTGTAGCCAAACCTGTTTAACTGCAAACAACCCCCCCCCCCCTCCCCCCTCCAGGAATTCTGACTTCTGTCTGTCTCTCTCCCAACCCCAACCCCTCGTCTGACATCCATTGGACTGACACATACAGGCGCTCCTCTGTGTACAAACGTGTCCGTGTACCAATTTGTGTCACAATCCGAGCAGATTGATTGGTTTTCAATGCATTTAAAAATGTTGTTTTTTTTAATACTGTCCCTGTATAGTATTTATGGCTTTAACCCCTCCCTGCCCACCGGGCACTTCTACCCCCTCCCTGCCCACCGGGCACTTCTACCCCCTCCCTGCCTACAGGGCATTTCTACCCCCTCCCTGCCCACCGGGCACTTCTACCCCTCCCTGCCTACAGGACACTTCTACCCCTCCCTGCCCACCGGGCACTTCTACCCCCTCCCTGCCCACCGGGCACTTCTACCCCCTTCCTGCCTGCAGGACACTTCTACCCCCTTCCTGCCTACAGGGCACTTCTACCCCCTCCCTGCCCACCGGGCACTTTTACCCCCTCCCTGCCTACAGGGCACTTCTACCCCCTCCCTGCCTACAGGGCACTTCTACCCCCTCCCTGCCCACCGGGCACTTCTACCCCCTCCCTGCCCACCGGGCACTTCTACCCCCTCCCTGCCTACAGGACACTTCTACCCCCTCCCTGCCCACCGGACACTTCTACCCCCTTCCTGCCTACAGGGCACTTCTACCCCCCTCCCTGCCCACCGGGCACTTCTACCCCCCTCCCTGCCCACCGGGCACTTCTACCCCCTCCCTGCCCACCGGGCACTTCTACCCCCTCCCTGCCCACCGGGCACTTCTACCCCCTCCCTGCCCACCGGGCACTTCTACCCCCTCCTGCCTACAGGGCACTTCTACCCCCTCCCTGCCCACCGGGCACTTCTACCCCCTCCCTGCCTACAGGACACTTCTACCCCCTCCCTGCCCACCGGGCACTTCTACCCCCTCCCTGCCCACCGGGCACTTCTACCCCCTTCCTGCCTGCAGGACACTTCTACCCCCTTCCTGCCTACAGGGCACTTCTACCCCCTCCCTGCCCACCGGGCACTTCTACCCCCTCCCTGCCTACAGGGCACTTCTACCCCCTCCCTGCCTACAGGGGCACTTCTACCCCCTCCCTGCCCACCGGGCACTTCTACCCCTCCCTGCCCACCGGCACTTCTACCCCCTCCCTGCCTACAGGACACTTCTACCCCCTCCCTGCCCACCGGACACTTCTACCCCCTTCCTGCCTACAGGGCACTTCTACCCCCTCCCTGCCCACCGGGCACTTCTACCCCCTCCCTGCCCACCGGGCACTTCTACCCCCCCCTCCCTGCCCACCGGGCACTTCTACCCCCTCCCTGCCCACCGGGCACTTCTACCCCCTCCCTGCCCACCGGACACTTCTACCCCCTCCCTGCCCACCGGGCACTTCTACCCCCTCCCTGCCCACCGGACACTTCTACCCCCTCCCTGCCTACCGGGACACTTCTACCCCCTCCCTGCCTACCGGACACTTCTACCCCCTCCCTGCCTACCACACTTCTACCCCCTCCCTGACACCGGACACTTCTACCCCCTCCCTGCCTACCGGACACTTCTACCCTCCCTGCCCACCGGGCACCTCTACCCCCCTCCCTGCCTACAGGACACCTCTACCCCCTCCCTGCCTACAGGACACCTCTACCCCCTCCTGCCTACCGGACACTTCTACCCCCTCCCTGCCTACAGGACACCTCTACCCCCCCTCCCTGCCTACCGGACACTTCTACCCCCCTCCCTGCCTACAGGACACCTCTACCCCCTCCCTGCCTACCGGACACCTCTACCCCCTCCCTGCCTACCGGACACTTCTACCCCCTTCCTGCCTACAGGGCACTTCTACCCCCTTCCTGCCTACCGGACACTTCTACCCCCCTCCTGCCTACCGGGCACTTCTACCCCCTCCCTGCCCACCGGGCACTTCTACCCCCTCCCTGCCCACCGGGCACTTCTACCCCCTCCCTGCCCACCGGGCACTTCTACCCCCTCCCTGCCCACCCGGGGCACTTCTACCCCCTCCCTGCCTACAGGGCACTTCTACCCCCTCCCTGCCTACAGGGCACTTCTACCCCCTCCCTGCCTACTGGACACTTCTACCCCCTCCCTGCCTACTGGACACTTCTACCCCCTCCCTGCCTACTGGACACTTCTACCCCCTCCCTGCCTACTGGGACACTTCTACCCCCTCCCTGCCTACTGGACACTTCTACCCCCTCCCTGCCCACCGGACACTTCTACCCCCCTCCCTGCCTACAGGACACCTCTACCCCCCTCCCTGCCTACAGGACACCTCTACCCCCTCCCTGCCTACCGGACACCTCTACCCCCTCCCTGCCTACCGGACACCTCTACCCCCTCCCTGCCTACCGGGCACTTCTACCCCTTCCTGCCTACAGGGCACTTCTACCCCCCCCCCCCCACTTTGACAATTGCGCGGTTATGCAACATTGTACACATATGACATTTTTGTCTTTTTTT